CAAACATAGTACATCCTCCTTCCATGTAGTCCAGTTGCTAAAAGAAGTAGCTTTCAAATAAATACAACCAAAGAGCCACAAATAATTTTTAAAAAGGACCCGAAACTACTTCTTGGAAAATATGAGAGTATCCAACTCATATTGTTAGTAACACTTTTCCCAACCCCTTTCCTATTCTTCTTCTTCTTATGTCTCACAATCCTGTGAATCCTCTTATTTTGCTAAATCCCAACCCACCTCTCAAAACATCTTGACCAATATCTCCCAGAGTATGGAATTTTTTTCTTATTCATCTTTATCTGGGTGATAAATATAGTCCATCTACCTAAGTCCTTCGCTTTTTCTGTAGATCTTTTTTTCTTCCCATTGCTTTATCCAGTTGTTTTTATCAAGCAAGTCTAGGAATGGGGCATGATAGACCAAGCACTACTCAAAGGTCAGTGATTGTGGGCAGAAAACCGAGTAGGAAAAGACAACATTCTTCTTCTTGGAAAAGAAGGAAAGACTGGGAGCATCTTCATTTTAAAACTTGCTTTATTCAGTCATATTTGTAAATAAAAAAACAGCAACAACAACAACAACAAACAGATTGAAAGCCAGTTACAGAACACAGGATGAGATTGGAAGTTCAGTCAAGCCTTCCGGAGGTGTCTGGAGTAAAAGTTTGGAGAAAAGCTGCTGCTTTCGGATTGGATGATCGGAGCTAGGGGCGCAGGTCCCAGGTGCTTCCTTGTATGAACGGCATCCTATCCAGGAACTCTGTATCCCTTCATGAGCAGAGCAGGTGTTTGCTCTCCTAAAAGTTTCCTCTGGCATCTGTTCTATTGCACCTGGAGTTAGCTCTATCACAAATTCCTTCTTATAGGCACAGGCGATGCCCATGCAAATATACATCTGCAGTTTTGCAGAAAGAAGAACTATAATTCCGAGCTCAACAAAAATGTCACATCCTGCTAATGCAAAACATTTTCCATTGTCTTCAGCTCTCACAACACTAATCTGTAAATCAAACTGAGTACCTCTTTGCTGCAATCACACTTGGGATTGCTCCTCAGAAACAGATTCACTAAACACCTCACTAAAAAAATGTGGCAGGTGTTTCCATGATTCATTTAAAGCTGTTTCTTGCATTTTATTTTTATCGCTTGTGGCTTGCTTTTACCTTGAGGGGGTAGGTTTCAGGAAAGGTGAGGTTAATTTAAAATTGTGATCAGATTTGTTTAAGTCGCCGTTAGTTGATAGTCCAGCATTTCTGTGGAAGAGATATCACTGTAGGTCAATGTGTTTTTATTTCATCTGATTTAATCTGACTTTCATCTCATTCATTTCTTTTCCTTGGGTAAATATCATTGTCATTGTTGTTTCCAAACCTAGGTAGCCTCTCAAAAGTTTTCCTCATACCAACCACTTCTCTTCCTTGTTCAAGCTATTCTCCCAGTGGGAAAGGTTGTGCCAAGTGATACCCAGCCAGCATCTCAATCAAAATCCATCTGCAGACTTCCTTCTTTCTGGCACCCCTTCCTCATTATGCTCGTCATACTCAGTTCACTTCTTATCTCTGCACACTCCTACGTCACTAATAAGATGTGATCTAGGCCAAGTGCAGTGGCTCAAGCCTGTAATCCCAGCACTTTGGGAGGCAGAGGTGGGTGGATCACGAGGTCAGGAGATCGAGACCATCCTAGCTAACACAGTGAAATCCTGTCTCTACTAAAAATACAAAAAAAAATTAGCCAGGCATGGTGCCGGGCGCCTGTAGTCCGAGCTACTCTGGAGGCTGGAGAACAGCATGAACCTGGGAGGCGGAGCTTGCAGTGAGCCAAGATCGGGCCACTGCACTCCAGCCTGGGTGACAGGGCCAGCCCAGACTCCATCTCAAAAAAAAAAAAACAAAAAACAAACAAAAAAAACCACAAAGATGTGATCTGGCATCTGTTGGCTCATTGTGCTGTTGTTGTTTTCAGTTATTTTTTAATTAAGTTCATTAACTAACTGTTTATTGGGGACCTACTGCGTGTGAGTTTCTGTTAAAAGTCTCCAGGAAATACAAACATGAATAAGACAATCTCTGTGCTCCAGATATTTTTATTTCGACCTTTTTACAGAAAGTAAAATTTTTCAAAATCTTTTAACAGCTTTATTAAGATAGAATTCCTATGCCATACAATGTACCCACTTAAAGTGTACGGTTCAATGGCTTTTATATATTCACAGAATTGTACTTCCATTATCACAATTGGAGAACATTTTCATTAGACCCCAAAGACCATTACACCTCTTAGCCATCACTTCTCAATCCCCTCCCATTCCCCTGCCCTAGGCAACCACTAATCTATTTTAAAGATTTGCCTATTCTGGGACATATTAATGGAATTTTGTATGAATGGAATTGTACAATCTGCAGTTCTTTTTGACTGGTTTCTTTCATTTAACATAATGTTTTCAAGGTTCATCCATGTTGTAACATGTATCAGCACTGCCTGCCTCCCTGCCTTTCTGTCTGCCTGCCTTCCTTCCTCGCTGCCTTCCTTCCTTCCTTCCTTCCTTCCTTCTTTCCTTCCTTCCTTCCTGCCTGCCTGCCTGCCTGCCTTTTTAATTTTTTTTGACAGGATCTCACTCTGCGGCCCAGTTTCAAGTCATCCTCCCACCTCAACCTCCCAAGTAACTGGGACTACAGGTGCCTGCCACAACACCTGGCTAATTTTGTTGTTGTTGTTGTTAGAGATGGACTCTTGCTTGGGTGCTCAGGCTAGTTTCAATCTCCAGGCTTCAAGCGATCCTCCCACCTAGATCTCCCAAAGTGCTGGGATTACAGGCGCAAACCACCGTGCCTGGCCCCCTTTAAAAAAAAAAAAACCAAAAGACTATTTTTTTCCAGAGAAGTTTTAGGATCACTCAAAAATTGAGAGTAAAGTACAGGGATTTCCCATACATACATAGCCTCTCCCATTATCAACATCCCCCAACAGTGTGGTACATCTGTTACAATTGAGCTTCCTTGTTTTTTTTTTTTTTTAACCCTTCTTATGTTATTTCACAAGGCTATTTTTCATCTATCTTTATTAGCTGTCTCCTTTGTTACCTTCACCTCTCGCACTGATGGCTTAGCCCAGTGGCCCAACATAGCTGATAAGAAGTAGACTTACTTCCAGGCTTATTTTCAGGCTCATTTTCCTGATTTAGTGTTGAGGGTACGGGTGGACTAAGTTTTGTTTTGTTTGTTTTGTTTTAGAGAAGTGTATTGCTTTAAAACAGGGAGAGACAGTCCCACTACTGAAAGGAGCTGGGTCTTTAATGTTAGAGAAAGGTAGGTAGGAGCCTTAGTTTTTGCCTTTGGCAAGTTTATTGACCACTGTGAGCCTCAGCCTCATCTGTTAAATGAGCTGGATAATGCCCATCCAGAGGAGTTCTTGGGAAGATTAATGCAGTAAGCATGGAAAGCACCTCTCTGGAAGGTTCAAGGAAAGGGAACTGGAATTATGGGTGACAGAATTCCCCGGCTTTCCAATGCATCACTGTAGGACGACTTAGCACTCCTAGCAGGCTGGCCTCATGCCCCTCCAGAGTCTCTAGCTTGTGGGCTGGGGGCCGGATATGGACAGGATATCTGGAAGGGAACACATTTAACTTCCATGGGTGATCCTGGAAAGGCTCAGCAAATCACCCATTCAGTGTGTGTGTGTGTGTGTGTGTGTGTGTGTCAAAGTCTCACTCCATCACCCAGGCTGGAACGCAGTGGCGCAATCTCGGTTCACTGCAACCTCTGCCTCCCAAGTTCAAGCGATTCTCCCATCTCAGCCCCCCGAGTAGCTGGGATTACAGGCGCCTGCCACCATGCCTGGCTGATTTTTGTATTTTTAGTAGAGACGGGGTTTCACCATGTTGGCCAGGCTGGTTTCGAACTACTGACCTCAGGTGATCCGCCCACCTTGACTTCCCAAAGTGCTGGGATTACAGGCATGAGCCACCGCACCTGGCCCATTCATTTATTTTTATTTGAACCTCTCTTCCAGGAGGCCCTCTGAGTTTAGAAGGTTTAGCGACAGGACCCTGATTCAAGTCTACTCGTTTATTTGAAAGCTGCTTGGATAAAAATAAAATAAAATAAAAAGTAAACTGGAGGATAACATAAAGGGATCCTTGCAGAGGATTCCTCCGTTCGTGGATCTCACTGAATCTCGGAGTTAGAACACGGCTCAGAGACCTCAACTCCCTCATGGGTCAGACAAGGACAGGTTTTTCATTCGGCCCTGGATCCTCTCACAATAGCCTCGCGGGAGCTGGCCCTCAAAATGATGAAGGAATAAATGAATGGAGGGATGGAGAAATGAATCATGAAGAAAAAATGAATGAGGTAGGCCTGCTTGTTTGCTGCTATTTTCTTCACAATGCTTTTAAGATTTCCTGGTCCATCTCCTCCTTCACCACTTCTCTCCCTCCCCTCGGTCTCTTCTCCCGCTTGTCTCTTAAAGAAGGGTGCCGCGTTCCCGCGCTCCTCCCCTTCCCCTCGCCCCGCCCCTCCCCCGCGAGGCTCCGCCCCGCCGCCCGACCCCAGCGGGAATGAATGGCAGCGTAGCCGCCGCGCCGCTCGGGGTGCCGATTGGCTGACAGGCGCGCTGACGCGCCGGCGACCGCGGGTGCACGCAGGCGAACAGAGCCGGCGGGGGCGGAGCCGTGCTCCGGGGCGGGGCGCAGGAGCCCCGGGGCGGAGGAGCCGGGGAGGCGGGAGGCGGGAGGCGGGAGGCGTCGGGGCCGTTGAAGCGGCCTCCCTCCCGCCCCCAGCCGCCCGGTCTGGCCCCAGCCCTGTCCCGACCCCCGGCCTGGCCCACTCCGACCCTACCCGGCCGAAGGGTTCCGCTGGACACGCAGGCGGCCTCCGGAGCAGCCCAAGCCCATGAGGGCCGCGCGCCCGGCCGCCGGTGCTGACGAGACGGAGCTCCTGGCCCCCGAAGAGGAGCAGAGGATCAATGCGGTTCAAGAATCGATTCCAGCGGTGAGAGGGATGGCGTCCCGGTCCCGCTGCCCGTGTCGGGAGCGGGTCCCCAAGTCCCGCCGTTAAGCGCACGGCTCCCCGCTCCTCACCTGGATCCATCCTGGGTGGATCCAGCACCTTGGCCCGGGATCAGCTCCCGGGGGATTCCCCAGCCTGCTGTCCCTGGGCGATCCCCTTCCTCCTAGGATGGGAGCTCCTGCCTGACCCGGGTCTCCCCTCGCAACCTGCGGACCTCGGATGGATTCCCGGACCTGGGACCCCAAGCCTGTCCTCCTTCCTGGGGATCCCTTTGCTCCTGGGGCTCACCCTCCCGATCCCCATACAGGGTGGGCTCTGGCTCTCTCTGGGAACCCGAACCCCAGCCCCGGGCGCCGCCCCCGAGTCCTCCGACTTGGCTTTGGCCTCCATCCCTTTACCTCCAGGGTGGGGGGTCTCCCGGGGCGCGCGGAACCGGGTGGCGCCCTGCGGAGAGATTTGTCGTAAAGCGGGGTGCTAGGCATTTTGGGTGCTTTGTCTGTGAACGGCCCTAGGAACAGGGAAACTGAGGCACGCTCCGCCAGCTTAGCCCTGCCTGGCCGTGTAGGGGCCCTGCTGGTTCTCCAGCTGAGCGTCCCAGGGCGGTGCTATTTTGGGCTCTGCGAAGGGGCATGTTAGCTTTCGGGTGGCGAGACCTGCTGTGGAGGCGCCGGTGTTCGGAAACGAGGAGGAGGAACCGTGGAGGCGCCACCGGAAGGCTGGCCGCTGCTCATTCACTGTAGAGCTGGTGGAAATGCCGGGCTGGGGGGCGCCATGGCCTTACTCCCCTCTGGGGCTCCACCGTCTAACAATGGATGGAGGTTAGCCCAAGGCTCTGAGAGGAACTCCGGGCTTTTCTTTTCTGTTTAAGTGGGTGAAAGTTCACCTCTCCAGGGCTTGTGGTAACTCCGCATCCCTTTGTGTAAATTCCCGGACCTTCACCGCCAGCAGGTTTGCTGGGGGTGCAGGGACAGGGGAAATTGTAAGAAATGCATGAAATCTTCCCAGAAGATTGCTGAGTTTTTAGACACTACCTTTTATTTCCGAATTTTAAAGTACACATTTTTTTTTTCTTTCCAGTCTCCATACCCTCACTGCCCACTCACCCATCTCATTCCTCCCCTAGTCCCAAAGGGTAAAGGAGGCAACAAATGCACAGAAGAGTTGACATGGTCTGGGCCACCAGGAAGGGGATCAGCTTGAAGACTTGGATTGACTTCTGAATATATTGCTTATCAGTCAGGGTGTTGAATGCCTGGCACTGTTCCCCCAGTGGGAACTCCATATCGGTGTGTCTAATGGCAAAATGGAACCATAGTGTTCCGACTTTAGAACCTGATGTCAGAAATGAAGACCGGAGGGGCTTTTAGAGAGAATGTAACATGCACTCAGGCATGATCAGTGAAGCCCTGTGCATGCGGTTTGTTTGATTTGGTTTTACTTCTCTACACGTCTGTGCTCTTCCTGTTTTCAGAGAACAGTAGCAATATTCTGTGAAATTGCCTCTTCCTTATTTGATTAAGAGTTTGTCTTTCTTACGTATTCCTTTGGATTCTCTAAAAAGAAAAAAAAAAAAAAGACCCTGTTCAATTATTTGTTGCACAAATGTTAAAACAGTGTTACAACAACAACAACAAAAAACTTCATTTAGGATGCTACCCTCTCAGCTTATCGAACTGACTTTTTAATTATTTTTGCTGGACACTGATCCATTCCTTATTAGACAGTTGTAATGTGATTTTTGCGCTCTCTATTATTAACTTAAAAACTAAAAATACAGGCATTTTCTTTTGGTGTGGCATAGACTGTAATTTTCTTGGGGGCTTGTGTTTTGCTCAGTGGATATTTAACAGTTTCTTTCTTGATGACATCTAGACCCACCCTGATTTTCTTTGAAGATTTGTGTGATCTCATAATTTCCTGGTTCTCTATCATAGGTTAGGTTGGAAACATATTTCTAAGCATCAATTTTAACTTGGAAATAAAGCCTATAAACAAAAAGTAATGTAATGAGAATGTCCTGATTTTTGTGGTTCACACATTAAAATGCTAGGGTACTATTCTGCACCTTTTCATGCTGTGTTTATGATATATCTTTCTGAGCATTCCCAGGTAGGTAAATTACAAAGGAACTGGAGGACGGTACAAACACACTGTCTCTGAGGGGAGATGTGCTTCCTCCCTGATAGATTTATTGGGACTGAATAGAGGAGCACGAGGAGGGGTTTATGCAATGATGGCTTCTTAACAAACTTAGGATGTGAAAAATTCCACTGGAACACAGAGGCATATTTTATCTTCCTTGTTTTATCTGTTTCACACTTGAGTATCCCCAAGATACCTACACACACATAGACAAACACAAAGTCGTCCTCTCCCCTTCACAGCATCTCTGATTGATGGCAATAACTGCTAACATTTGTTGAGTGCCATTTATCTACGCCAGGCACTGGCTGGGCACTTGTATATTACTCATCCTCAACTGTAACTCTGGAAGACATAAATTTTATACCCATTTGATAGAAGAGTAAATAGGTTTAGAGAATGAAGGGAAACTTGCCCATAGTCATACAGCTAGGAAGGGGTAGATCCAAGAGTTCAACTTCATGTCTGTCTCTCCACCACTCATGCTGCTAGCTCACCACTTTCTCTCTCTAACTCCCTGCCCACACCACATCTGTGTGTATTGCATATAGGTATAAGATCCACAGAACTTCTACTGTATCTTCTTGTTGGTGTGTACTCATTTCAACAGTCTTGCAACCAAAGATCCAAGGGAAAAAAAGCCCTTTTCCTCAGCCCCAACCTCATGATCATGTAGCTAGCTTCAAAAGTGGATATGTGGGAAAGCATTTTAATCTAAAGTATTAGAATCTTACAGGGCTACCTATTGTCTTTTTCCCCAAGTTCTTAAAGCACTAAATCATAGGCATGGGGTAGTCTCCTTATATACGCCATCTTCCTTTATTTAATAATGAAGTCAAGATTGGCACTATTGACAGTGGACGCTTTTCCTGAACAAATAGGCTCAGTCATAAAGGGGAGCTAATAGTAAGAAGGGTGCACTCATACATTGCAACATAAGAGATGTTGAAGGGGCCCTTGGAACATCCATTGTCTTGGCTTTTAAGTGTTTTTTTGTGAGATTCGGGGTTCTCTTGGTTCCAAGGCTGCGTGTTTCTCTTACTTACAGAACCTGCCGTGTCCACAGTAAAACTAATTGACTATGGGATATCTTTGTTAAGACGAAATAGTTCAGCAGTAGCTGGAATGTCTTTCTATTCTTTCAACAATCATTAAGCTCTAGCAATAAGCTGGGCATTGTACTTGAGTTTGGTAATGGAAAGGTGCTGTGGAATTCACACTACAGTGGGAAAAGATGAAATAAAAAATAAGCTAAAACAAATCAAAGTCTTACCAATTGTGACACAGGGCTCTGGTTGGATATGGAGGGTTGAAATGATACTTCAGTTAGGATAGTCTGGAAAACCTCTCTGAGGAGGTGACATCTGAGCTGAGCTGAAAGGATGAGAAGAGAGCTGAGCATTCTGGAGAAGATCTTAGACAGAAGTAAACAGCAAGTACACACACCCAGAGGCAGACACAACCTTGATGTGTTTAAGGAGCAGAAAAGAGGTGGTATAGCCAGAGGGTGGAGAGAGAGAAAGATGCCACCCTGAGACTGGAGGGGGAGTGAGGCCCAGACCACTCAGGGCTTTTGGGCCTATGAACACTGTGTTTCAGTGCTATTGTAAGCACTTTGGGAAGCCAGAGGCAGACTTTAAGCTGGGATTGGGGTGTGTGATGTGATCTGGGTTTTTTGTTGTTGTTTGTTTTTGAGACAGGGTCTTGTTCTGTCACCCAGACTGGAGTGCAGTGGTGCCATGAGAACTCACTGTTGCAGCCTTGACCTCCGAGGCTCAAGCAGTCCTTCCACCTCAGTCCCAAGTAGCTGGGGCTACAGGCGTACACCACCACACCGGGCTAATTTTTACATTTTTTTGTGTAGAGATGGGATCTCACTATATCGCCCAGGCTGGTCTCAAACTCTTGGGCTCAAGCGACCTCCTGCCTCAGCTCCCCCAAAGTGCTGGGATTACAGGTGTGAGCCACCATGCCCAGCCCCTGATCTGTTTCTAATGGAAAACTGTAGCTGCTATATAAAGAAGAGAGTCTATAGGGGGTCAAGCAGGAAGACTAGTTAAGAGACTATGTATTTGCACAGACTTGAGATGTTAGGTCTTTATTTAAGGTAGGAGCTGTGAAGCTGGGATTGCAGGTGCACGCCACCATGCCAGGCTAATTTTTATATTTTTGTAGAGATGGAGTTGCTCCATGTTGGCCAGGCTGGTCTTGAACTCCTGACCTCAAGTGATGAGGCGGACTTATTTGAAATATATTTTGAAGGTAGCGTTGACGGTACTTGCACTCGGAGAATGAGGAACACTTGCGGGATTTGATCTACTGAGATCAGCCTCTGAGATCTGCTGGTGGGCTGCAGATCTACTCAGTGGGCACAGTGCTTTGGGCTGAATTTCAAGTGTGTTAGTGTGCTGAGGAGCGTTCCCAGGCCTCTGATCTGTTCTTTCCCTCCACGGTTTTGAAATTCTGTCATGGCATGGGAGAGGGGTACGGGGGAAGGAGGAGGTGATAAGAACATTGGGCAAGGGGGAAGGCAGGACAGTTTTGAAAGAGAAAGTGAAGGGATGAGTGAAAAAACCCTGCTTCACTAGTAGTTTTATTAAGTGCAATTCCCACTCCCAGGACTAAATCACCTTCCTTCAAACCCTCTAGAGCTTGCTGGTTACTCAGGCATTGAGTAACCATTAGGGCCACTCTGCCTTAAATAGAGATGTCTTCCATAAATGGATGCTGTTTTCCATAACCAGCACTTGAACCTTTCCCATTTCTTTTTTTGGGGAAGAGATGAAGGCCAGAGTGTGGGAGTTGATTTACATTTTACATCTGCTTTTCCATTTAGGTCTTAGGAGTGGTTTCTTCAGGAGGCTGTGGAGGAGGCTTGATTGCACCCTGGCAGGTTAGAGAGAAATGGGAAAATTGTATTGTACTTTCCCAGCAGAACAATTATGCTGTCTATCCTGCTGAGCCTCAGATTTAGAGAACTGCTTCCAGGATACTTACCCTTATCTTTCCCTATTGCCCGTGTCTTGCTCTGTGCATCAGGAGAGAGTGCCTTGAGTCACCATGGGTGGGATATTTTTCTGTATAACTTTCTATTTTATTTTTTAATGTGAATGATTCCAGGTGATCAGGGACTCAGCTGTCATAAACATGGCCATCCAGTTTATTTGTTTTTAGGAGAAAATGTGAAAGTCTATCCCTGTTGCTGGGTAATGGCTTGACTATTTTTAGATTGGGCTGCCAGAGATATAAATTGCTATTTTAGTCTGCAGCCTGGTGGTGGGTAGACAAATCCTACTTACTGCACCCTACACAGAGCACTTTCAATTTCATCTAACTTCAGCCATCTTGGGGCCTTGCTGTTTACCCTTGAAAATTCCTAATAGGGTATGCTACTTACAGCTCTGTTGTTATATCTCAGGGCAACGATGTGGTGTATCCTCCAATACTTGGGACACTTTTAAAGCATTCTTCCCAAGAGTGTAATTATTTTCTTTTTTGCTAATAAGAACTGTATAGCAACACTCTTGTCCCTTAGGAAATAGTAAAATTATTTAAAATATTAGCGGGGGAGAAAAGATGATGCTTGATAATAGTTAACTATATTTGAGAATAGCTTGGATAAATTTTGAAGCTAGTAGCTGTATATTTCTCTTTAACAGTTGATTTTCAAACCATCTGGTAGATTATACTCAGTAAGTACATATTTTGTACACTAGTTAAATATCTTAACCCATCAGTGGGCCAAGTGAAATATCTTCACTGTCCCAAATTCATTCCACAGTGGATTTTCCACCTGAACTATCTGTATTGTGTTAATAGTGGCTGCCACTTTATTTTTATTTATTTGATCGAAGGATAACAGGCTCTTCCTAACTCAGGGAGAGAGTATTGGATGGTCTTTTATTTGTAAACTGGGCACTCTCTAAAATGGCTTGGTCATGCGTTTTAGCCAATTTTTGGCAACTTGGTTCTACCATTTGGTTCAGCCTTGTACCATTTTGTATTGTGTGTATGAATAAGGTAATGTGTAGTTACAACTCATTAGTGGCACAAAATACCAACCACCTCCCCCTGCCATTCACACTTCTTTAAACTAGCTTGAGCAAAAGGATGATTTATTGTGCAAAGCCTGTTGACGTCTTACAGACTCTTAAGCACAGGAATGCAGTGGACCTCTGCGACCTGAATGCTCTTGAAGTTGTTTTTTTTTTTTCTTTTTTTTTTTTTTTTTGCCTCCATCTGTTTCTGTGCATCTGTTTCTTTCTTTTATTCAGACAGCTGCTTTTTTCTCTTCTTCTGAGAAAAAAAAGGATGAGTTAGACTAATCCAGAGTCCCTCATGAAACCTGTTGTGGGTATGGGTTGGGTTTTTGGTGAGGAGGGCATCCTCACTCAGCATACTGAAATGGAAGAATGCTATCCTCTCTAGGTTCTGTGGTATTCATGCCTTTCGCCGTACTACTGATCGTCACAAAGTTAGCCTAAAGGGAAGTGTGGAATATGGGCATATGTCTATATATGTAACAGATTTTGATATTTAGATACATACACACATTTGTGTGTATATATGAATTTTGTCACCAAAAGAATCAGGTAGTAGTCATGTGTTTGGTCTTTAAAGCAGACTCTTGGAATTCAGGAATAATGAAGGTGAAAAACATACCTCCTGTTTTAAGTTGCCTGGAGGTAGCCAGGCATCATTTATTTAAGCTGTCTAGTGACAGGTAATACAATGTAGGGAAACTAGTGGGACAGGCCTGTTAATCATGGGATGTAGGGTTTAAAGATGTGCCTGTATAAAGTTTTGTAAATTTTAAGAGAGAAAATAGAAACTTTGTGTTTCAAATGTAGTCTATCCCTT